TTCTTGTAGTATAACACCACCAAGTAGGTTGGCCCCAATTACAACCAGAGTGACCCTGGAACTTAAATCCTTTTTTATTTGAAGTCTGGGGTGCTCAGCGAGCCCTGTGCTTCTAAGTCCCGCGGAGCCGGGACTAGAGCAGCAGAGAAAAATAAACCAAATATTTCCCTGGAGCAGATTCCCTGCTCTGGCTCAAATCAGCAGCAGTTATTAAGACGTTTGAGGTCTTGGCGTTTCGCTCCGAACTGTTTTTGTGTGAGCGTTCAGGAGCTGATAGTTTACATTAAAACATTCTGTGGAAAAATACTTGCAGTTCCTCCCCATCTCCTGGATGGGAGAGCCTGTGGGCTGCGGCACCCATGAGCACCCAGGGACACCCATCTCGCTCCTGGGGGCTCTCACATCCACCCCCCTCCTTTCCCAAGCTCTTTTTGGGACCTTGGGAATCAGTCCAGAGGATGCTGCCTCCTTCCCTTCTCGGCCCACGGAAGCAACTCACAGGAGAAAGACACCCTTCTGCTGCCCCCTCCTTTTCTCCCCCCTCTCGCCACAACCTTGAATGTGAGAAAGATTTTGAAATGCTCCTCTTATCTCTGTTTTCCCAGCATTTTGGAGCTGGTTTAGGCAGGAGAGATTAACAAAGACGCAGCTATTTACATGAAGGCGACGTGGTTTATGAATGAAATGGGGACAATTGGAGTTTTTATCAACCCTTGAGGCTTGTAACGTTATTACTCGTCTTTCTCCAACGCATTCAGGCTTTGACAGCCCTCTGAGACCTGTGCTTGAAAAATACCTTACCTGGGGGTGGGAGGGGGGGGGATATTGTGGCTTTTTTAGGAGTGGGAAAATTGAAGCAGGGGGAAGGGAGAGCATCCTGTTCAAGGTCACAGAGCAAGCTGGTGGCAGAACCAGAAATAGCACCCAGAAGTTATTAGGGTTTTTTTTTCTGTATTTCCTTTCCTGTCAAGCTGTTTGCTTGGATACCGAGATAGCTGTGTGTAAACACAAGGTTTCCAGAGCGCAGCGGCCTCATTGTCTGCCTGATTCATTCAGTGATGATGCAATCTGGAATCCAGATTTCTGCAATGCCTTCCAGGGTCGTGATGCTGCACGTGACATCACCGGCCCCGTTGAGCAACCGGACTCTTAAACTTGTCTCCACCTGAAACGCCAATGTCTGAGTTCTCATCTGGTCATAGCGGTCTAGAAGGCCTCTATTAGGTTTCCCTGGAGCCTCCTCTTCTTCAGGCTGAACAACCCCAGCTTCCTCAGCCTGTCCTGGTAGCAGAGGTGCTCCATCCCCCTGACCATCCTTGTGGGTCCAGAGGAGGGCCACGAGGATGATCAGGGGGAGAGAGCCACCTCTGCTACGAGGACAGGCTGAGGGAGCTGGGATTGTTCAGCCTGGAGAAGAGGAGGCTCCGGGGAGACCTAATAGCAGCCTTCCAGTACCTGAGGGGCCTACAGGAAGGCTGGGGAGAACCTGTTTAGAAAGGCCTGTAGTGACAGGACGAGGGGCAATGGCTTCAAGCTGGAGGGGAACAGATTTAGACTGGAGATGAGGAGAGGGTTCTTCACTGTGAGGGTGGTGGAGCACTGGAACAGGTTGCCGAGGGAGGTGGTTGAGGACCATACCCTAGAGATATGCAAGGAGAGGCTCGACGAGGCCCTGGGCAACCTGGGCTAGTTGGGGGTGTCCCTGCTGACTGCGGGGGGGTCGGACTAGATGGCCTTTGGAGGTCCCGTCCAGCCTGGGCAATTCTATGATTCTATGATTTCTCTGGCAAAAATAATTGACTTGTCTTTTTGCTCTCTTGAACCCAGTAGGGAACCCTGAAGCTGAGAAAGTCACCTGTGGGTGTTCATCCTCCCTGTGACCCCCCAGGCAGCTTCGTTGACTATTTAAGTTCTCAGTTTGTGCAAACTCCCCAGTAACAAGGAGCTGCTGGGCTACCAGCCTTCCACCAGCTGTCAGAAGCCACCAGACACATTTTAATAGCTTCTGTCCATCATTTCTGCTACAACAGAGCCACAGCGTTCTCCCCCAGCCAGGGCTGGGAAGGAAGCATGGCTGGGATGAACCTCTCCTCTTCCACCAGGTCTAAGAGGAAGGCAACAAATTTTAGATCTTTGGGAAACAGGAGGGCTCACTTTTGAGTCACCAAGTCATTGTTAGGAGAGAGCGATCAAGAATATGGTAAAACTTACTCCTCTGTGGAAGGTGAAAAATGAGGTGGAAGGAGAGCGGTGAGTCCTTTCATGGGCATTTTCTTTAGAATCACAGAGTGGTTTGGGTGGGAAGGGACCTTAAAGATCATCGAGTTCCCACCCCCTGCCCTGGGCAGGGACACCTCCCACCACACCACGTTGCCCAAAGCCCCCTCCAACCTGCCCTTGAACCCCTCCAGGGATGGGGCAGCCACAGCTTCTCTGGCCAACCTGGGCCAGGCTCTCACCACCCTCACCCCAAACAAGTTCTTCCCCACATCTCAGCTCCATCTCCCCTCTTGCAGGGTCCAACCCTTCCCCCTCCTCCTAGGGCTCCCCTCCCTCAGCCAGAGTCCCTCCCCATCTCTCCTGGAGCCCCTTGAGGGACTGGAAGGGGTTCCAAGGTCTCCCCGGAGCCTTCTCTTCTCCAGGCTGAACCCCCCCAACTACAATTTAGGATGGAAACAAAGGTGTGAGGACATATATATACACTCTGAGGAGCTCTGCTAAGCACTGCTGCCAGCCCCCTCAGGCTCTGGTGCCCACAGTTCTGCTCCACAAACCCATGGAAAGCCCCCACATGTCACCAGAGTTCACTCAACACCAGCAGGAGCTCACTGGGGTCCTGAGCAGGGTCCATGTCCTTCCTGTGCTGGGCATGTGGCAGAACTGCCAAAGAGCCACAGAAACAAACAACTCATCCCCAGCAGCCGATGTTTATTAAGGAGCTACAAGAGTATTCCTTTACATGCACAACTCCCAGGAAGAGGGAAGAACAAGACCTTGGATGCTGTATTTCCTCTCCTCCTTGGAAGCTGATGCTTTATCCATCTGGTGCCTTGGCTTGGGTGCTGTCACTTGGTAGCTCTGCTCCGAGGGTGTCAGCGGAGCTTTGTAGCATCTTGCGATGGTTCCTCCGAGTGTAGGAATTCTGTTTACGTTGTTCAGCTCTTCATCAGCCCAAATTAGTGTCAGCAGATGGCATGCACCTATCTGTCTCTCCAATTCTCAGGAAGTGCAGGATGGCTTTAATGGGAAATGAATTATTCTTTATCCAGGATGTTTCACTGATAAGCAAAATAATAAGTTGTTTCGTGTGTGTGCCTTGGCCGTCCAGTACTTGTGTGACTGTCTACCTTCTCTGGAGGGACCAGCCGCAGATTTCATCAGGGTCTCTGTGTCTGGCTCAATTGTCAGCATTAAGAGAGCCTGCGCTTTGTAACAAATCTGCAAATAGTGTTGATGATTTATTTTGGCAGCAGACAATTCATCTTCCACCCTGCAGGCCTCGCTCTCTCTGGTCTCTCTTGGTCACTGAGGGAAACCAGAAGACAAAATTTATCAGCAGAGATGAGTAGGTGGTGATTTTGAGATAGCATCGCTCCTGAGTGTCCTTTTTTGATTATAACCACACTTGAGAAGGGACCTTTTGCAGCCTTGAAATGCCAAGATCTCACCCTCCCGGAACCATTCTCAAATAGAGCATTGAAATATATTTGACAACTTACCCACCTTTCATCTGTAACCTCAACATGCTGTACTTTTCCAATGGCAAAACCCTAGAAAGTTCTGGACTGGAGCCCTGGGCACAAATGATGGACAACAAAATGCCCTTCAAAAAGTGAGGAGAATACGTATGGTAAAAGTGACCCCTCTCTTCTCCTTCAGCATCTTCATGTGAGCTTTATAAACCTGCCCCTTTGCCAATGGTGCCAGCCCAATCTTGAGTTGCAAATAATTTGAGGCTGGAACAGGCGGGAGGCTGATTTGCTAATTTACTGCAAAAATTATAATTTTCACGATCCCACAGCCCTGTTGCAACTGGTGTCTTCTCACAAATTGCTTTGGGCTTAAAAAGGTGCAGTGGAGCTGCAGGGAATGGGGTTGGGCCCGTCTGCTGTGGTCTTGAGGGCCACCAATGGGGATAAATAGTGACTTAATTTCTCTACCGTGTTTCTGGGTCATTAAATTAATCTGGGTGCTGTATTTGGAGCGGTGATTCTGTGGGTTCTGCATCTTCTCTTTCTCCTGGATGCACAAAAGATAATGTTAAAGAAAATTACTTGCAGGCTGTGAGGTTTGGGGGAGTCAAGAGTAATTGGTGTAATTTGCTAATGGGTAACATGGGAATATGGGGTCAGCACTGACTGAAAAAAAATCTTTACAACCTATTTTGTGAAGAATCTAAATATTTGGGGGTTTTTTTCAGTGGCTGGAGGAGAATAAACAGGTAACTTCTGTAATTTCACCTTCCCCTTGTATTTCTTCTTACCACAAATGAGTGAGGCCTCTTTGTTTCTCATTTTTCTTTTTGCCTCTTGAACAAAGTTGAGGAAAAATTTTAAATAATTGATGGAGAAGGGAAATAAAACAGAAAAGATTTCACACCGTTATTTGGAGGCCGTGTTACACTCGGCAGCGAGACTGAGAAAGGAGAAATAACACTGCTCAAAATCTGGATGTTTCTGAATCTTTTGGTTGTGGAGTGACAGCAGAAACCCTCCGAAAATAGTTTTTTAAACAGGAAATTTCACAAGAAACTGAGAAAAAAAGGGCTCCCCCACCCCTCCATATTACATCAAAAAACCCCAGATGAAATTATCTGCTCTCACAAAGCACCATCACAGTGTCACCTTGGTGTCCCTGGGGTGGTTGGGCTTTGACGTGCCCCATGGCCCCCAGGGGATAGACATGGGGAGGGGGGGACAGTGCCCTCATGGGGTGAGGAGCCCCAGGGGCTGGAGGGCCAGCTCTCCTGCCACCTCACCATCCCCAGGACATCCCCTCGTTGGCCCTTGGGATGCTTCCTGAGTGACACTGGGTGAGTGAGGGGACTTGGGGGACTTGATGGTGCTGAGGGCATCAGTCCCGTAGGGTGGCACCATGGGAACAGGACCAGAGGGCGATGGTGTGTCTGGGTTTGGGACCTTGGTGATGCTGAGGGGATTTTGGGGCAAGGACACAGATGGGAGGGAGAGTAGAGGTGTTTCTTTGTGGGGGTGGTTTGAGGGTTTTAAAATGGTGTTCAATCGCTGTTCTTCCGCTATTTGTGATTCTAAACCCAAATTGACCACCCCCCTTTTCCAAATGAAAGCGTTTGAGTTGGGGACATTCAGCCTGGAGAAGAGAAGGCTCCAGGGAGACCTTATTGTGGCCTTTCAGTACCTAAAGGGGCTCCAGGAAAGCTGGGGACAAACTTTTTAACAGGGCTAAGGCTCCAGGGAGACCTTATTGTGGCCTTTCAGTACCTAAAGGGGCTCCAGGAAAGCTGGAGACAAACTTTTTAACAGGGCCTGTTGTGATAGGACAAGGAGTAATGACTTTAGACTAGAAGAGGGTTAGGGATTTTGATTAGATCTAAGGAAGAAATTTTTTGCAATGAGCATGGTGAGACCCTGGCCAAGGGTGCCCAGAGAAGCTGTGGCTGCCCCATCCCTGGAGGGGTTCAAGGCCAGGTTGGGAGGGGGCTTGGAGCAACCTGATCGAGTTGAAGGTGTCCCTGCCCAGGGCAGGAGGTGGGAATAGATGGCCTTTAAATGTCCCTTTACACCCAAACTATTCCATGAATATATGAAATGTATTCTAGAAACCCAAAGTGACCACCTCACTTTCCAAATGAAAGCTCCAGGCATGTTCTTAGATTTGGTTATTATCTTTTTTGCAGTAGTTAAAACATAATAAAGCAGAGAGGCAGAAAAAAATGATTTTTTAAAACATGCTCTTACTCTTCCAGATCTCAAGATATCTTCACTGTGACACAATAATTTTCCAATGCTACTTTTCGGTTATATTTAGAAGTGCATTTTCTGTTCCTTCCCTCTCCTTTCTGTGGAACAATTGTGCAACTTTCTTTTTTTCTTAATATAATACCGTCTTAAAATTAGCTACGAGACTAAAAAGGCTCCTCTGTGTAGGAAGGCAGCTACCTTCCTTCCCAGCGCTTCCCCTGGATCTTCCACTGGGATTCTGCTCCTCTTCCCCGCGGGTTCCCCGGGGCGTTTGCTGGGGTGTGGGGCTGTGTTTTCCCTTCCTGACGGTGCTCTGCTCTCCCCAGCAGTGAGCATGCAGAGTCCGGAGGGTGGATCAGACTCAACAGCTTCTGTGACACTTCACACTTCTGCCCAGGCTCCCGTAGTGCAGCCCGTGCCAGCCTCGCAGCAGGTAACGTATGCGCAGCTGGGAATGCCGTTTCCATGGAGAAGAGACCTCTTTTCCTGGCAGATGTGTTTTAATCCAGGGTTTTTATAAGGGGGAGAGGTTTTTTAATCAGCTCGTTGAAGGTAGTGGGGAGAATCTGTTGCTGGACATTGTGTTGATAAAGGCCTTCGATATTTTGTGTGGTCGCCCTACAGATAAGTAAGCTTTAAAACACAGGATTTAAATTTTTAACTTAGCTCCCCAAGGAAGTAATTTCATGCCAGTTTGGTGTTTGCTTCAGTGCAATATCCTTTGTCATTATTTGATGTGTCAATAAAAGCGGGAGAAAATGAAACTGTCCTTTAAAGACAACTCTGCAAATCAGGTACTGAGCTCAGCAGGGAAGAGTGGGGCAGTGCTAATGGAGAGGGTGGAGGGCTCTTCCTTTGGTAGGTGGATCCCCGTGTTTTAAGTTGGGGAGGAGGGATTTATGATTCATGATTCATATACATGAATATAATGCACTTGGGAAGTCTCCTGATAGGACAGAAATGATAACTTCAGCTGATGAATGAAAACTACCCAGTGCAAAACGGGAAGGGTTAAGTAAAACTGGATGCTTTTTATGCCATTTGGGGAACTATTAGAAGAAGTTTCTGTCACAGGAAGCTGGAGGGATAAGAGGATGGGTGGGTGTAACTTAGCTACACCCTTCTCTGATTCCCAAGTGAGCAGAAGTAGCTGCCACTGGATGCTGATGAGAAGGAACAATTGAAAATTGTGAATTAGTAGGAGCATTCGATTCGCCAGGAGACTCGGACATTCCCAGTGTGTGCTTCGGTGCATGGTTGGCCAGCTTGTGGTCATCTTCCAGCCTTCCCATCTTCCATTGCTCTGGGGGACATTTCTTGTTTCTCTTGGAATGATGTGGGTATCGCTGATCAGTAGGGATCATAAGTCATTAGTGGGAATTTGACTGTGACAACACAGTCAAGAAGTTGGGAAGACCCATCGGCTTTGGATTATGAAATTACCTGTCCAGCCTTTGGCAGTGCTGTCATCATGACATGGACTATTGAGTGGAACTCCATGGATTAAGGAAGACCCAGAGGATCATGGAATATTGCTGAAGAGGAGGAGCGTCCAGAGCTTTCCCTTCTCACCAGCAGCACAAACAAAACACTAGGAATGAACTACTGGCAGCATGAGTGGTGTGAGGAGGAAGCCTTTGGTGTTGTCGATCACTGGTCTACCTTCCAGTGTGAGCGAAGGCTGTATGAACAGGAGAGCCTCATCTTCCAGGTTGGGGATGGTTGATTTTGGGGGTTGGAAGGCAGTGGGAGCAATTAGCTAGGCAGTGACAAATTCCACAAGTAGCTGAGCTGGGCAGCTGTGCCAAAGGAGATGTGTCGCTTGGAAAAGCAATGGGTAAAAATGGGGAGAAAATGGGTAAAAAATAGGAGAAAGGAATGGATCTTTCTGAGCCTTCAATGTGGGTGGCATTTCTGAGGCCTGCCTTGAACAAGGGCTTTTCACGTTCCCATCGTGTACTGGCTACAGCCTCTTTTGGAGAGAAAAAGGGACAAAGTGATGGCTGGAATTATCTGAGGCCTGCCTTGAACAAGGGCTTTTCATGTTCCCATCGTGTACTGGTTACAGCCTCTTTTGGAGAGAAAAGGAGATAAAGTGATGGCTGGAATTAAGTGTATGTGTCCTTATCTCAGCAGCAGGATCTCCAGTGTGTCCAGACTTACTGAAGGTCACCTGGGGACTGGTGTGGTAGAGGGTGCCTAGAAATCTGAGCAATTACCACGCTCCTATAATTCTGCTAGAATAGAATTTCTGGCTGGTTACAAAGGGCATGTTGGGAGGGTGTCAGAGGGCTAAGAATCATCAATATATGTGTTGGGAGGGTGTCAGAGGGCTAAGAATCGTCAATATATGTGTATAAGGTGGCTGGTAACAACCATTCTATGATTCTATGATTCTATAAGGTGGCTGGTAATTGGCAAGGTCTCTTCTAGTATTCATGTGGCATTATTTTGCAGTTTTTGTTCTGTTGGCCCAGTCTTCTGGGTATTTTTAAAGACTCAAGCCCCAGAGGGTGACTGTCTCCTCGGAGAAGGTCCTCATCAGTTAAAAGGCCGTAGTGATCTTTGGCTTGAGTGTCTCCTTCCTTCCTCTCGTGCCTCTATCCCAGGCTCTGTTCCCACAGGCCTTGCTGAATCCTTTCTTTCCATGCACCATGGCCCCACACTTGGTTTTCTTGTATCTGCAAGGTGCTGAGCACTCTACGAGGTGTGTGTCCATCCTCAAACTGAATGCCAGGTGATCCTCAAACTGAATGCCGGGCTGGAAATGACAGGGGAGAGGGAGAGGACAGATTTGACCACCGTAAGGCAACACAAAGCATTTCTGTGCCCTTGGTGGCACAGAACCATCTGGGCTTTGGTGCTGGTAGAACCTGTAAGGGCTGGGATGCCTTGGAGAGAGCGATTTGGGGTTGCAGGAGGCAGAGCCTGGTTTGTTATGGCAGCCGTGAGAGAAGGAGCTTTGCAGCTGTAGGAGGAAAATGTGAAGGTGTGAGGAGTGGTTCTTCTTTAGCTGTGGCTGAACCTCATGTTGAGCTCCTCTCATCAATCAACCATTTGCTGTTATTTCCTTGTGTGGAGACTTAAAAGATGATCCCTGTCAGAAAACGTGGATCCAGCTTTTCCCAGGTTCAGGCTTCTGAGCTTGGGCTGGTGTCCAGTGCAGGTTACACAGGAAGGACAGAGACCACAGGTACCCAAAGGGTACTGCTGCCTCAGGAGCAGAGGGGAAGCTTTCCATGAAAATTTGAAAGAGAATCCTAACTCTGTTACAGACTGAAAGTAAGTGTTTGTTGCTGTTTCTTCTTCTTTCAGAGGGTTTTGGTCCAAGCAGCAGGTTCCGCTCCCAAAGGAGCGCAGATGCAGCAGATCTCTGTGCCCAGAGTCCAGCAGGTTCCACAACAGGTAATAAATATCTCCAGGGTGAGACAACCACACAGGGACCCCCGTGTCAACAGGACCCCACATCCCACCTGACATTTGAAACCGTGCCAGATACCTGCTTAGAAAAATCGTAATTAGAGAGTTGTGTGCAATTAGAGAACTGGTGATCACTGAGAGAGCAGCTTTTTCCATCTCTCTCTTCCTTTCTGAGATTGATGGAGAAAGAAACTCTCGAGATATTTAAAGTTTAGAAAAAATGTTTACTGTAGCAGTTGCCTTTCATACATTTGAAGATTTGATGGATGCTTTTAATTGCCATTTAAAAGCAGTCCTCCTCTCTAAAGATTTTTTTAGAGGCATGGTGTTAGGGATTTTTTTAATCACACAAATAAACGTACTGACTGCGTGTGGCTTCAGAGAAAGGTTAGGTGACAGAGAGCTGTGCAAGTGTTTTTATTTACCTGAATTTTGCCTTTTGCAGTCCTTGTTTCCTAAGAAACCAGGCATATGTGGTGCTGCTTCATGTGGACAGTGAGTCTGACTCTCTTGACTTTTTCCTCTAGCAATTTTTTATTTGGTTGCTCAGTTTCAAAAAAAAAACAAAAAAACCAACACCAACTTTACAGAGGGCAAGTATATCCCCCCCAGACCGAAGAAAAAGGGGGGCTGGGGTGCAGAGGGATGCTGCCAACCTTCTCTCTGAAGGACAGGCTGCAGTGTGATCTCACCCTTATTAGTCAGTGGAGAACCAGCCCCGAGACGTGTGTGCGGAGGAAACCCAGCTCCATTGTTTCCACTGCTCATGGAGGAACTACTTATTTATTTATTTTAATATGACCTTTTAAAATAAATTGGTCCTTTGGGATTCCTAAGCCTGTGGGGTTTTTTGTTTGGTTTGTTTTTCTTGGTTTTTTTTCTTTTAAAAAGCCTAAATGTCAAGGTAAGGTTGAAAGTTGTTTAAGGATGTAATATGCAATTTCTCCTGCTGTTCCTTGGCAGTAACATACCCGTAACTCGAGTTGATGCTGCTTGTTCCAGGTGCAATCCGTGCAGCACGTATATCCATCCCAGGTCCAGTATGTGGAAGGAGGAGAAGCTGTTTATACCAATGGAACCATGTAAGAATCTCTTGTTGGCTGGAGCAGAGCCCTGTTCCCTTCCCAGCTGGGTTCAGCCCTTGGCTTCTCCCTGGCTCCTTCCACCCGGGCACTGCTGCTGGCACTGCCTGCTGTTGAAGGGAGGAAGAGGAGGAACAACCCTTTCCCCTGCTCCCTTAGAATCATAGAATCATTCAGGTTGGAAGAGACCCTTGGGATCATCGAGTCCAACCATCTACCCTACTCTACAAAGTCCTCCCCTACACCATGTCCCTCAATACCCCATCTAAACGTCCCTTAAACACAGCCCGGGATGGGGACTGAACCACCTCCCTGGGCAGCCTGTTCCAATGCCCGACCACTCTTTCTGGGAAAAATTCCTTCCTAATGTTCAGTCCTAATGTTCAGTCTACCCCCTTGTGTGCACGGGGGTAGTTTCAGCCAGACTCCACCCTCGGAGGAGGTGTTTTCCTCATGGAGGGGCTGTTCTCCAGGGAATCCTGCTACATAAATGGCCCAGGGTTTTCCTCTGCCCATTGTGTGGTGAGGTGGGGTGGCTTTAGGAGGCAGAGCGTAACTGGTAGAGGAAGAAGAGGGGGGGGTTAAGGTTTCCTCTTCCTCCTCTCTGCCGTACCCCCTGCTTTGAGCATCCCCTGCTGCCCTCTGGGATGCTCTCAGCCTTCTCCACCAGGGTTGCTGCCATGGCTGCAGAGCAGCTCCTGGTCTCTGCTCTGGCTGTGGGCCTTTGCTCCAGGCCCCTCACAGGACTGATTAACATTGTCACAATTAACGTGCTGATTTTTACAGCACAGAGTTCAATTTCAATGGAACAAAGGGGTTGTTCAGCTTGAAGAGAAGGCTCCAGGAAGACCTTATAGTGAGAAGAGAAGGCTCCAGGGAGACCTTATAGTGAGTGGCCTTCCAGTGCCCGAAGGGGGCCTACAGGAGATGAGGAGGAACTGTTTGCAATGGCCTGTAACCACAGGATGAGGGGCAACGCTTTTAAGCTACAGCAGAGTAGGTTTAGATTAGACATTGAGGAGTTCTTTACAATGAGGGTAGTGAGACACTGGCCCAGGTTGCCCAGAGAGGTGCTGGAGGCCCCGTCCCTGGAGATATTCAAGGTCAGGCTTGATGAGGCTCTGAGCAATCTCATCTAGTTGAGGATGTTCCTGCTTACTGCAGGCAGGTTGGACTAGATGACCTTTGAAAGTCCCTTCCAACCCAACAGGTTCGATGATTCTATGAAATCCCACTAACAATGGAGTCAATTTTTTTTTTTTTTTTTAAAAGGGTGGTCCAGATTGTGGGAACTGTTGTTCTGTGAGATTATCTCTGCAGGCTCCTCCCAACCTTCTGACCCTCTTCTTCCTTTGACAGACGAGCCACCTACTCCTACAACACCGAAGCTCAGATTTACGCCCCCAGCAGCGCAGCATCCTACTTTGAACCACAGGGAGGTGGAGCTCAGGTGACTACAGCGGCATCCTCTCCTACAGCCATTCCCTCTCACAACATGGTGGGCATCACCATGGACATTGGGGGAAGTCCGATCCTCTCCGGCTCGGGAGCCTATCTCATTCATGGGGGGATGGAAAACACTAGACATTCCCTGTCACATACTTCACGCTCCTCTCCAGCAACGGTATGTAGCCCTGCAGATATTGCAGCTCGGGGGCCAGGAATTATTCCAAGGGAACTGAAAAACCTTCAGAAAATGAAACTTGCTGTCGTTCCCACTGTCTAGATGTCTGTATAACATGCCGTGCAAGTGCAAGGGAGAGAATAGACACTGGTGTACTACAGATATTTTTCAACAGGAGTTTGGAATGTCTCTCTTGCTGATGGGCCCTGACAGACTTTCTGAGCAGATCACTGAAATTACACAGCATGGAGAGAAGAGAAAATTCTCGGGGTTTTTGGCTCTTTCCCCCCGAGCAAAATGTTTTGGCTTTCCAATTCAAAAGAATTGTCTATATTTACATTTTCTAATAAGTATAACATATGAACATGGGGCTTGGCTTATCCAAAACAAAGAAATGTATAAAGATATTTTTAATTACAAGGACACCTGAAAAATCCATTATTAACACAGTGGATAATTAGCACATAAAATTTGTCAAGCTGATCATGCCAAAATGCACAGTGATCAAAAAGTCTTTGTATGGATCTCCTACACCATTGTGTATTCTGTCTGTGCCATATGTTACAGAAAATGTATTTTAGGGATAATACTCATCAAACAGAAATGTTTTAGAGCTCTAATTGCTTTTAATCATGTCCCTCCGAGTGTCAAGCGAGGTGCCAGGGTGCTGGAAGCACAGCTGTACAGCTGTGTGGGACTCGGGGGGTACAATCACTCACCCCAACCCTCCTTTCTGCAGCCAGAAGCTCCCAGGGCTTTTCCTTGGGAATCTCCCCGCCTCAGGAGCGGCTGCTGCCAGGAGTGGGTTGGAGCTGGTTTTCTGGGACATGGCTCACCTTCCTTCCCAGACTGACTTATGTGTGTTTATAAGTTTGTATGTAAACATAATTACAAATGTAGGTGTAATTCAGCCGGTGTGGCCAGATTTTAAAATGTGAATAGCACCACCCAGGGAGAAAACCAGGAGCCCTTTGCTGCTGAGTACTCTTGAAAATCTGGCTGGTTTGGTTGTACTTTCTTTTCCCACTGAGTTTTAGAGTATAGACTTCATGTTTTTTGAATCTTTATGCCTTGAAAGGTTGCCTTTGATCCTGGAGTAAATGTGCTCTGCCTTAGGTAGAAGTAGAGGAAAAGTCTTTATTTGGGTGGAAGAGAAAAGGACAGATGCATCTGGGTTAGCTGGGGTGTGTTTCTCGCGTGAGAATTATGTGTGTGTATTTTAACTGCTCATAGTTAAAAACTAGCATTGGACCATCTTCTGATTTTTACTCAGGCTGTTGTTTTGAAGGAAGTAGCTGATCTTGTCGCCTGCGTGTGATTCCTCTTGCAAAGCTGCACAACCTTACTCTTGGGTTTTGTTTTTTGGGGTGGTTTTTTGGGGGTCTTTCTTTTTAAATTTCCATGGTGTAAAAAGCCCAAGTAGAATATGTGTGAACAGAAATGTCCCGTGAACAGATTTAGCTTGTAGCTGTCTATCACATGAGGTAAAGCTGGTCAGCAAAAAAAAAGAATTTAGGAAGTGACCTTTCTGAAAATGCATCTGAAATAAATTCCCTCTGTTGCATGTAAGGATGAACCTTCTGAAGGTGTTTCAACACAAACTGTCTGTGGCTCTTGTGGAGGGGCTCAAGGGTGAAATAGTGGATGGAAGACAGGATAAGGATGTGTCTATGTGTGGCTTCCAGTTCTTTCAGCACAGACCAGGGTCGGAGGGGGATAAAGCAGAGCCATGAAAACTGCTTTGAATTTCCCATAGTAATGGGTGGATGGATAGTGGAAAGGAAAGCACTGATTGAATGAAATCCATGGGTAGGAACATTATTTTTTGTTGTTCTTTTGCTTAGAGAATAGGAAAGGCTGGTGTTGAAGAGGCTGGAGAGGCTGTAGTCCTGGCAAAATGTATTTAGGGCAGGATTAAGAGCTCTATGGAGAGAAGTACAGCTCCTGTGGAGGTAGCCAAGGAAGGCGCAGGGCAGGATTAAGAGCTCTATGGAGAGAAGAGAAGTACAGCTCCTGTGAAGGTAGCCAAGGAAGGCGTGGGGTTTGCGTGTGGTTTCGGGGTGTAGTGCAGAGGGGAGGGATGGATGGATGGATGGATGGATGGATGGATGGGTGGATGTCAAAGTGGCCAGCAAAGCGAGGGCTTGGCAATGAGAGAGGCAGCAGCAAGGAACGGGGAAGTGAGAGGGTTTGGAGGGTGTTGAGTGCTTGAGGCAGAGCTGCTCTGAGACCTCCAAAGCAGGGAGAGTGTCTTCAGAGGAGACGGGGAATGAGGGAGTGCTTCAGAATTTAGCTGTGGTGTAAGAGCTGCCTGAGGAGGTTGAGGGATGTTTGGGTAAAGACTATGTACACTAAAATAAAATCTTCAAATATTTAAAGAAACCCGTCTTCCCTATCTGCTGGAATAATGATGTTCAGCTCCATTGAAAGGGCTAAATCAGCACATGAATCAGTCCCGTTCAGTGGCTGTGCCACGGAGCACTATTAATCTTCATTTAAATGAGGATATAACAAGAGAGGAAATCCTTGAAGACCTCCCTTAAGTGAGTCCTCAGAGCTCCTCGCCTTTGTGCAGGGCTGCTTAAGAGCTTTTAGTCTTTCCCCTGCAATAGCTTTTTTTTTCTGCAGATTTTGTATGGGACACTTAGCAAAACGTGAGAAGGGCAGGTGGAGTTTCTGTGCTTGGGGAAGTGTTGCTCAAGGGGCACCTCCTCGAAGAGAGGAAGGAAACGGTGTCTCCCTCGAACACTGACTCATTTCCTGAAGGCTGCCTCAGCAATCAGCCTCTGCTTCCCCCTGACACATCACGGTGTGACAGTTTTCTCAAAAAACTACTGATGCATGGTCATAGACTGACCCTTGTTTTAATTCACTGATGACTTTTTGAGAAGTGGTGGTGCTTTTGGACAGAAACCAAGGGACGCGTGGTGGGGGTGCTTGGACAGAGCATCACGTTCAGTGGTGGGATGTTACTTCAGGCCTCAGATGTGATTTGTTCTGTTCTGTCACCTTCCTGCCAGAGCCGGGTTTTGTAAATGACTGGGTTTATCTCTACCATTATCTTCACCACGCTGTGAGTCGCTGCAAACTGGAGTTGGGGGAGCTAACCAATATGGGAGCTAACCAGTATGTGAAGTGGCTGCAGACAGATCATCGTGCAGATGCGACGCTTTGTGCAAGTGCCTCCAGATGAGTGCAGGACCCTGCTCTTAAATGAGCACAGATCCTAGAGATAGCAGCAAGTTTTGCTGACTGTTGTGTGCCGCCTTTTCCTGCCTGCACCAAGAGGTCACAGATAACAGGGCTTTGAGAACATCTGCTGGAGAGAAAAAGCAGGTTCTGCTCCTGCCAGCCCCTTAAGGTTGGGGTGGTTTTTTTGGTGTGGGGTATTTTTTTTCCCTTCCTCACTTGCAAAAAGCTTGTGCTGAGGAGCACTAGAGCTCTGGGTCCAGCAGGCATCCTTTGAGCAGTTTGTCAGAGATTGCCAAGAGAGCCCCAGCAGCAGGAAGGAGAAGACAAGAAGGGTCCAGGAGAGGGTCCAGGCTAAGGCAGGAGCCGTAGCTGGGCTGGGTTTAGCAGAGAAACCAGACTGAGGAAAGCAAGGGGGCTCTTCAGGGACCATGGCTCTGCCTGCAGGAGCTCTGAGATGGATGGAAATGAGCACAAGTAGCACCCAGCTGTGCCAGCCTGGCTTGGTGGGAAGAAGGTCACCTCATTGAAACCTCTTCTCTTCCTTCAGTGTCCCTTTGCAGTGCTCTTCAGTAGCAAAGAGCTCTTGGATAAGAGCTTATTCCAGTTTATACAGTCTGTGCCTCAGCCCTCCTTGTGCTCTTATTTTATTTAGTTGCCATTAGGTTTTTTTTGGTCAAAATTTTAAGAAATGATAACAAGAGCTTATTCCAGTTTATACAGTCTGTGCATCAGCCCTCCTTGTGCCCTTATTTTATTTAGTTGCCATTAGTTGGTCTTTTTTGTCAAAATTTTAAGAAATAATAAGCACCAAAGTAATTAATCCCAATTTTCCTTGGAAGATCTGAGTAAAACGCACCTTCTCTATAGCAGTTCTTCGACCTGCTGCAGTTTGGTGGTGGTTTGGTCTAGCACGAAGGGGAAACGAGAAGGAAAACTGCTTCTTTTTGATATATCTGGGTGATGGATATAGTGGAAGATCACACCCTCCCTGGTCTTGCTCTCTGCCCCCAGTAGGGATTCTCACCGCGGTGTCACCTGCATGTCATGCGATAACATCCCTGCAGCTTCATCCCATCAGGACTGTGCCTCATCTGTTTGCCTCTTTTTCACAAGCTTGATATAAAGCATTAATCATTCAAATATTAATAAAGATATAATAATCCTGGCTGTTGCTAACTATCTGATTTCCTTTCTTTTTCTTTTTTTTCCTTTTTTTTTTTTTTTTTTTTGCCCTGTGCACATTTTCTTTAGCTTGAAATGGCGATTGAAAACCTACAAAAAAGTGAAGGGATTACATCACACAAAAGCAGTTTGCTCAACAGCCATGTAAGTTACAATCAGAATTTACAACCTCTTTCCTGCTTTGGTAGGACCGTTATTTGTCACCCTTTAGGTATATTCTGACAGCACGAGCCACTCAAAGCAGCCTGGGATTCAGCTGGGCTGCCCCAAAGCAGCCCCATTCCCAAGAAACAAGAATCTGCAGAAAAGTGCCACGATGTTAATGTTGGTTTGTGAGATGCTCTGGATTCTGTTAACTGCCTCTGCCCTGTGTTTATTTATTTCATCCGCCTTGCAATGGAAATTGCTGGCAGTTAGATAAACACGTTTAAGGAAGTTCTTGCCTTTCACTGGAGTTGCAAGATGGCTGGAAAATAACTTGCAATTTGAGAGTAATAACTCGGAGTGAATTATGACAGATGTCCCTTAGATACCATGTGCCCAAAGCTGCTCCTGCCAGTGCCTTTGTTGCCTCTCTCTGTGCCTGGGGAAGCCCTTACTGTTCCAATGCTGTGCTAAACCCATTTGCTAGACCTCGCTCTTCTCACTTTGCCAACAAATTCCCTGCTTTGTGTGAAGTTCCCACTCTTCTACTGGGCCTCCTGCACCGTGGTTTGTGGCTCCCATGCAGTAACACTTGAGGGTGAGCACACGCTTGGGTGAGATTTGAAGGGTCTGATTCAACCCCTGGTGAAGTTGTCGGACTTGCCTTGACTTGGTTGTGGTTTGCATTAAGGCTGAAGCATGTCCTGCACTGATAATTCACAGTGCACAACGTGGGGCTTCCTTATCCTAACAGATTTCCTTTTGCTTTGCCTTTGGGGGCAGATCTGTTGTCATTTTTAGGTCCTGCAAAAAAAAAAAAAAAGCTTTGCCCTTTCCACCCTAGAGAACCAGCCTGAGAAAATGAAAAGGAGCATTAAACCTAATGCTGTGATTCTCTTAAGCTGGTGCTGAACTCCGTGGCAGGGCTCCTGGCTGAGCTGAATCCTTATTTCAGCTTCTGGAAATGGAAGGTTCCTTGTTGTAGTTGGGGAAACACAAACCTGGAGGATGAGGCTGGTAGTTCCTGTTCTGAGGATCTCAGAGCATCCGTCCTGTCCCGTGCTGTGCAGATTTCTCTAAGGGGGATCTTGCTCTGCAGATTTTTTCTTCTTCATCTCAGTGCAGAGAGAGACAGAGGGGAGTAAGACAGGGTGAGCTGTGGTGAAAAAAAAAGCAGGAAGAGGGCAGAGGAAAGAAAGCAAAGGTAGAAAAGAGATTTCATCTGACCGCAGGGGGTGCAGGATGGAGTTGGGATGGATCCAGCCTCTGGTCCAGCCTCTGGGCAGTGTGCCCAGGTGGCCAAGAAAGCCAAGGGCATTCTGGCTTGTATTAGAAATAGTGTGACCAGCAGAAGTAGGGAGGTGGTTGTCCCCCGTACTCGGCACTGGTGGCCACACCTGGAGTATTGTGTCCAGTTCTGGGCACCTCAATCCAAGAGAGATCTGGAGGTGCTGGAGCGAGTGCAGAGGAGGCAACGAAGCTGGTGAGGGGGCTGGAAGACAAATCATATGAAGAGCGGCTGAAGGAGCTGGGACTGTTTAGTGTGAGGAAGAGGAGGCTGAGGGGAGACCTCATCACTCTCTACAACTACTTGAAGGGACACTGTAGAGAGGTTGGTGCTGGTCTCTTCTCACAGGTAATTAGTGACAGAACGAGAGGGAACGGCTTCAAGCTCCAACAGGGGAGGTTTAGATTGAACATTAGGAAGGAATTTTTCACCCAAAGAGTGGTCGGGCATTGGAACAGGCTGCCCAGGGAGGGGGGGGAGTCCCCATCCCTGGCTGTGTTTAAGGGACGTTTAGATGGGGTACTGAGGGACATGGTGTGAGGGAGGACTTTGTAGAGTAGGGGAGATGGTTGGGCTCGATGATCCCAAGGGTCTCTTCCAACCTGAATGATTCTATGATTCTATGATCAGATCTTCCCCATGTTTGTCTTGCAGGGTAGAAGTAAAGAACATAATGTCTCTCTTCTCAGGTCGTGGTTCATAGTTTGGCATAAGGCTTAAGTTCTCTTACAAATTCTAAAGCAAATAAACCCCTTGCTGAGCATGTGTGTGCACATCAGCTCTCTGCTGAGGATGTCAGTCCAGACACAAGCAACGTGCTGCTGCCTGGGGCAGCTCCAGGGCTTGATAATTCCCTCTGCCAAGGGGCAGAGCCTGAGCCAAGGAAACTGGAGGGGCATCTGCTGCCCCGTGCACATCCAGTGTCCTTGCTCTGCCTTCCCGGAGCACGGGGAATAGCGAGGAAGCGATGGTCCCAGCAGTGCCCATAGGAAACACAGCATGTGACAGAACCACATCAGGCAATGCCTTTTCAGAGCTGGAGAAGGGTCATTGCCATGTCCCAGTGAGGCTGCACAGCCTCATCCAGGACTTGGCTGAGTGTCCTATTCCTCTGGAATGAGGGACCTGGCCTCCCTTGGAAGGGAGCCCTGATCTGAGTAGAAGTCTGGAGTGGAATCACAGAGTCATCGTTTGTGGCTTCAAGTTGCACCAGGGGAGGTTTAGGATAGATATTAGGAAAAATTTCTACACCAAAAGGGTTATCAAGCACTGGAACAGGCTGCCCGGGTAAGTGGTTGAGTCACCACCCCTGGAGATGTTTAAAGGACAGGTAGACATAGTGCTTGGAGATATGGTTTAGTGATGGGTTTTTTCAGTGGTAGGTTGATGGCTGGACTCGACGATCTGAAAGGTCCCTTCCAACCCAGGCAATTCTATGATTCTAAATGGTTTGAGTGGGAAGGGACCTTCAAAGGCCATCTAGTCCAACCCCCCTGCCATGAGCAGGGACATCTTCAACTAGATCAGGACCAACCTGGCCTTTAATGTTCCTAGGGATGGGGCATCCACCGCCTGGAGACGGCCAGAGGTTGCTCCCAACCACAATGTGTGGGACAACCCCATGAGTGTCCAGCGCTGTACCTCTGCACATGTTCAATGGTTCAAGGGTTTCTGCTGTTGGGATGTTGCAGTTCCACCTCTTTAGGTTTAAAAAAGACCCAAAAAATCCAAACAGAACCTTTCCCAAATAATGTGTGACTGACACATGATATTGGACACACATTGGAACCAGAAAGTGAAGCAGGAGGTGACTGTGGTTTGTCAAGGCTGAAAGTAAATATTAATAAATGAAATTATGTCAATCTCAGGTCCTGCAGCCCCTAGATGGCCCCAGCACTAAGGAGTAAGGGGAAATGTATTTTTCCCTCATTGCCTGTAAAATAAAAAAAACCCCAAAACCAAAATACACCCCCCCCCCAAAAAAAAACCCACTGGACTTCTTCCCTGTGGGTGAAGGGCTCTTAGGCAGGTGCTGCTGGAGTTTTTCCCTCAAGGAAAAGATCTTACCCCAAAATGGTGTTTGGGTGGAAACACCTAAAATGAGACTGAGAGAAACAGGAAAACTATTAAAGGGAAAGCTATTAAAGGGAATAATTCTTCTTTGGCTTGGGGAGGAATGTAAGGACCTAGTGATGGATGAATCTCCTGCTCGATGGAGAAAGACAGGCTAAAGATGATTTTTTTTTTTTTATAAATCAAAACAAACTGTCAATAGAAATAAAGTTAAACAGAAACGAGATGGAAATGTTCCCCTGAAGTGCCCACGATGCTGCTCAGTGGTTTTACTGGAACCTGATTGTAATATAAACAGAAATGAAAGTGTAGAATTTCTTGTCATTGTCACGACCGAGCCAAATTCAAAAAGTCAACAGAATAAGGGATGCAAATGGAAAGAATCTTTAATGTTGTCATTGTAAGTGCCCGGTCTGCTGTTACTAATGCAGGAAGAGCAAAATAATGTTTTGAAAATTATTTCTATTCTGACAGATTTCTTTTTTTAAGCTCTTTTGTGCGTTTTGTGAATTTCTAATTCAATAGTGGGAGTTCATATTGTGAAACTCTGTAATGTTTAAAGGAATATAAAAAGATAGTTGCAGAAAAAGAAAGCTGGAAGATGAAGGGAATATTCTAGAAACATCTGGGATTAGACTGAAAACGTCCAGGATCAAATGTAACTGAGAGGGTTTTACCTATATCTCAATTTTCCATAATAACATGTAGCTTTATTTATTTTTTTTAAGGCTTGGAGTTAGAAGAGGCGTAGAAAATGATTAGCTGACCCACATTCAGTATCACCCATAGGATAAATAAAATAAATGGTTAAATAAAAAGAAAAGAACCTTCTTAATCATTAATTTTTTAAATACAGGAGATGGGCCACAATTAGCACAGGTGTGGACTTCTTAAAAGCTGAGCTCCTGCCGGTCTTCTATGCCAAAACCACTTTTATTAGAGATAAATTAACGGGCAAGGGGGGCTCAGGGCTAGAGAACGGTGCCTGGGGGCTGCCCAGGGCTGCTCCTTCTACACAGGAGGGCAGGAAGGGACGTGGATTGTTAGCAACCACCACCTCTTGGGACCGTAGGGTTTAGAGGTCAGAAAGATCTTCTTCTGTGGAAAACCACTTCAAACAGCGTCGTGGGTGATGTGTAACTGGGGGAAGGTGGGAAGGTGACAAGCAGCTCAGGGAAAAGCGGGACAGAGAGGGTAAAATGGTCAAGAGGTTTTTCTTCTTCCAGCTGTGGCAGCCCATGCTCTGCTCCAAAGGCCACCAAAAACGATGGATCTAGGGCTGGAGCACCTCTACTATGAAGATTGGCTGAGAAAGTTGAGGGTGTTCAGCCTGGAGAAGAGAAGGCTCCAGGGAGACCTTATAACGGCCTTCCAGTACCTGAAGGGGTCTACAGGAGAGATGGGGAGGGATTCTTGATCAGGGAATGTAGTGATGGGATGAGAGGGAATGGTTTTAAATTGAAAGAGGGGAGATTTAGATTAGATACTAGAAAGAAATCCTTTGCTGCGAGGGTGGTGAGACCTCGGCCCAGGTTGGCCAGAGAAACTGTGGCTGCCCCATCCCTGGAGGGGTTCAAGGGCAGGTTGGAGGGGGCTTGGAGCAACCTGGTGTGGTGGGAGGTGTCCCTGCCCAGGGCAGGGGGGTTGGGAACTCAATGATCTTTAAGGTCCCTTCCAACTGTCACCATTCTGTGATTCTGTGATCCTATGATTGGAATTCATGGTTGCTTTGGCTCAAACCCAACTAATGAATGAAATCGTTTTAACTCTACAACTTGGGTTTCAGTAGTAGAAGTTTAAATTTGGATACGTGAATGGTAACCACGGAACAGACATTCAGAGGTGCTAAAAAGCCTTTGTGTGAGAGCAAAATTGGAGATGAAAGACGTGAACTGAAAATAAATCAATGGAGTGAGGTGTCAGAGATGTCATTGCACATTTCAGGTTGTATTTTCACAGAGTTACTGGTATAAAACTCTAGTGATGTAGGGGGGAATTGGGACCCCAAAGTTTCCCCAAGAGAAAATGGTAGAAAAGAGCTAACTACTGGAGTATGGGCACATTGCACATTTCAGGTTGTATTTTCACAGAACTACTGGTATAAAACTCTAGTGATGTAGTGGGGAATTGGGACCCCAAGAGAAAAGGGTAGAAAAGAGCTAGCTACTGGAGTATGAGTGGAGAGGACTTAAGCATAGACCATCCATGGGCATGGTTCAGTCCTGGTAATCTCTAGACTAAGTTTGTGCTTAATTACAATATGTGGTTGAACTAATTGTTGTAAGGAGATGACGTGGCTAATATTTTGGCATCCATAACCTGAAAAAGAGCTAACTACTGGAGTATGGGCAGAGAGGACTTAAGCATAGACCATCCATGGGCATGGTTCAGTCCTGGTAATCTCTAGACTAAGTTTGTGCTTAATTACAATATGTGGTTGAACTAATTGTTGTAAGGAGATGAGGTGGCTAATATTTTGGCATCCATAACTTGAGTGTGTTTTGCCCCAGCTCTGGTGTGAGCACAGCAGCTTCTGGTGGGTCTGAGCCTCCTGTGCACGCAGGGATGGAGAGGGAAGTCCTGAAAACATTAATCCCAAAGGTCCATAATGACAATAAAAGGGCTTTTACCAAAGCTATTGATTTTAGTCCATTTGTACATCTAGTTCTTTCAAAAATTCACTTAGTATAACACTTCCTTTATTGATGCTGAACTCATTTGGCCAATTAAAGGAGATTGGGTTTTTTGTCTTTCTGCATTTTAATTCTGGTGCTGAGATTGTGTGTGGGACCTGCCCGTTCACATCGGTGGGGTATAAGTAATTTATATCTAATTGCAAACTTTAATCAACAGAAATGGCGGAAGGAGTTCAGACAGTACATTTTGAAAAATAGATGGAACCCCTCAGATTTTTAAGGTTGCTTTGGTAACCGTTAGTTTTATTGTTAAGGGAACCGTTCCAGCCGTGCCATTCAAATTAATAAACCCTTTGCAGCATATTTGGGGCTCCTAAAATTCATTCCTCATAGGCAGTATCTTAACTTTTCTGTCCTTAAAGAGCCAGCCTTGCATCGAACAAGGACTAGGTTTTTGCTGAGGGTTTGTTTTTAAAACTCAAACCAAACAGTCAATAGAAATGAAGTTCCTAACATCTTTATGCTCGGAAAACATAGCTTTATTTTGGCTCTGCAGGAATTCATCTGAATGCGAGGTGGAGCCTGAGGTGGCAGGCGGACTATGGTCTAATGCTTGTGCAAAATCTGACAGCATTTTTGTTGGGTTATTACCTTTGGGGGCGCCTTTTACCTGTAAAAAAAGAACAGCTGGCATAAGTTCTATAAATTAACTCAGATAAATTAAGTTCTCACGAACTCTTAATGTCCGACGGGCTCTCCAGGAATTTAAACCTTGATGCTCTTTGACGCAGCCCATTCCAGCCCTCTTTAGACTTTCATGTGTTCTTTATTTATTTATGCTTTCCATACCTAAAGCTCCAGTGGTTGTTGGACAACTACGAGACGGCGGAAGGCGTCAGCCTTCCCAGGAGCTCTCTCTACAACCATTACCTGCGGCACTGCCAGGAGCACAAACTGGATCCAGTAAATGCTGCTTCCTTTGGAAAACTGATCCGCTCCGTCTTCATGGGGCTGAGGACTCGCCGCCTGGGAACCAGGTTGGTATGAATCTACAGCCTGGAGAAGAGAAGGCTCCAGGGAGACCTTAGAGCGGCCTTTCAATAACTGAAGGGTGCCTATAGAAGAGCTGGGGAGGGACTCTTTGCCAGGAAGGGTAATGATAGGACAAGGGGAAACGGTTTTAAATTGGAAGAAAAAAGATTCAGATTAGATCTCAGGAAGAAACTTTTTACTCTGAGGGTGGTGAGACACTGGAACAGGTTGCCCAGGGAAGTCGTGGATGCCCCATCCCTGGAAGTGTTCAAGGCCAGGCTGGATGGGGCCTTGAGCAACCTGCTCTGGTGAGAGGTGTCGCTGCCCAGGGCAGGGGGGTTGGGACTAGATGATCTTTGAGGTCCCTTCCAACCCAAACCATTCTATGATTCTATGGTTCTACATTTAAATAGGGGGAAAAAAAAAAAAAAAGTCCTACAGTTTCCCTCACGGATACTGAGAACCTCCCGAGCATCGTTTAGCAGGTGCAGGTCTGTCTTCTGAGATCTACAGAAACAACCCAGCATGGTGGTGTGGGGAAAAAAAAATGCTGTTCTGAGACCCACGAGTAATTTCCTTGTGTTGTGTGAGGCAAAGCTGCTTTCTCACCTTGAATCAGCGGTGCGAGAGGCTCGACAATGCTCCAGGTCTCTGATGGCAGCGCCTCGTTCAGCCACACAGTGGAATTTGGTCTGAGTCCATTTCCTAAGGAGCCTAAGAATATTTTATTCGAACCTAGCTTTCTAATCGTTCCATTACTGTCTCAAAAAGATGAAGTGACTCATTTTCACCATTGCTGCTGTCAGCTGCTGAGCCCAAAATTCTGGTGTAGTGAAATGGTTTCTCCCTTTGGGTCCAGTAAAGTTCCTCCATCACAGATGGGAACAGGACCCGTGCCCGGGTCTTTGATGCAGAGCAGCTGTACAGGTGTCAATGGCTGGTTTCTTCACTCCCCAAAGCAGCAGGCTGAATCTTGTGACAGCATTTTTTTCTTTTAAAACATCAAAGATCCACAGGATGTTACAACAAAAGCATAACAGAAGAAGCTACACTTGCTGTAATTACATGTGTATCCTTCAAAGTGGCATCCGGAGTCTCTGCACACCTTGCACAGCTGAGTTTGCTTTTTATCCCAGCTTCTATTTTTAAAAAAGTAGCTAATACACTAGAGAAACAGCAATTGCTCTGACTGTATATGATTTTATAATGAAATTCAAGCTTAGATATTTGGGCTTCTAAACAAGACCAAACCCAGATGTGTCTGGGGCTTTCCACAGCTGGAATGTATAGGATGAGCAGGGGAGAGTTGGGATCTCTGGATTTCTGTTCAAGTGCAAGAACTCTGCAATAATTTCCTCAGAGGAGAGTTCAAGCTTAGATATTTGGGCTTCTAAACAAGACCAAACCCAGATGTTTCTGGGGCTTTCCACAGCTGGAATGTATAGGATGAGCAGGGGAGAGTTGGGATCTCTGGATTTCTGTTCAAGAACTCTGCAATAATTTCTTCAGAGGAGATAAATTCTTTCATCCCATCAAGGATTAAAGAAAAAACAAACAAGAAAAACCCCACTCAAAATTGCAAATGTGCAATTCTTTCATCCCATCAAGGATTAAAGAAAAAAACAAGCAAAAACCCCACTTGTGCAGGCTGGAATGGACACAGTAAACCTCAATAAATATGGAAGTAGCTGTCCACTGTTATGTTCTTATTCATTCATTTCGATTATAAATGCAGTCGTTATTTAATTTGCAGGCACTTAAAATCACTTAAGACGTGGTTGAAGCCCACTTGATCCCTGAGCACTCAGTGTGTGCAAAGCCCTTTGGTGACAGTGGCAAAGACTGAAAGATTCCAAGAGAAAATTCCCCCAGCCAGGAAGAAGGGGTTAATTCTTTCACAATTATTCCCCTCTTTAATTTCCTTTATATAATTTTCCAATGGATTTAAGGATTTGAATGGGTTTCAATTCAATGGATATAAGGTGCCTTCAGCCCCTGTCGTAGTGACACGGCAAATGAAGTTTAAGTGTCCCCAGTAAAGGGCTCCAGAGCCTTGGATGCTGCTCCCAATCTGGGTCTCCTCTCTTGCTGAGGACTCAGCCCTTGTTAGTGCTGAACTGGCTAAAGCCAAGTTGGCCATTCTGTCGTCATGTATCCATGGCTGCAAAATTGCCTTCTCCCTCCCAAAAGCAGGCACTTGGGGATTGCAAAATTCCAGTTAGGTGGAAAAAACTTTCACTGACACCTCTGTCTAATGGGATGGAAAGACGTTCTCCGTAAGGAGCATCACAGCAGCTTTGTCGACCAGTGAAGGAAAAAGAATTACAGCCTCTTCTGCTCGTGAAAAGCTTTCCTTTTTTACAAAAATAGCTACAAAAATGAGAAACTCCAAGAACAAAGCCACATCAAAGCCTGTTGCCATCCCTGTGAAAGTGCTGGCAACAGAAAGACATTTTTCTTATCATAGTTGCCTGTTCAGTCAGGCTTGTTTTATCCGAGTCTAGATAAAGATGGAAGTTTGTTTTGATGGAAAAAACGACTCCTTAAGCCCTAATCAAATAGCAAAGTGTCCCCTGAGGCCTTTCTGTCATTCTGTTTAATAACACTTTGTGTTGTAGCACTTTTCTCCTCTTCTCTGGTTTCCATGGGTTACTTGGAACAAACCTCGCCGGGTTTTACCCGGGGATGTCACTGAACTTTGCGACACGTGGTTTTAAATTTTATAGGGGATGATGGCATTCCTTAGTTCCTTAGTTCAGCCGTCCAAATAGCACTTGGCAGCAAATGGCTGTGTGCTGTGAGTAGGGTGTATGGTCAAAACAAGCCTAAGAGTAAACTGTGGGGCTACGATGTCCCTTCCATTGACCAACTCACCCTGAGCAATATTTCAACGCTGGTACTTCCAGGGGAAACTCCAAATACCATTATTATGGGATCCGTCTAAAACCAGAGTCTCCGCTGAACCGTTTGCAGGAGGACACCCAGTACATGGCCATGAGGCAGCAGCCCATCCACCAGAAGCAGAGGTAGGTGCTCCTCAGGGCTGGCGTGGACAAGGTCCCTTCCCAAAAAATGCCACAGAGCCCAGTTGGGGACTAGGCTTTTGCTGGGAGCAAAGGGACATGTTGGGACAGGTCAGTGGAAGAGGGGCTGCAAGTCACTGCCCCTCGGAGTAGTGGAAGGGTCCAAACCCGGGACTAGGCTTTTGCTGGGAGCAAAGGGACGTGTTGGGAGAGGTCAGTGGAAGAGGGGCTGCGAGTCACTGCCCCTCAGAGTAGTAGAAGGGTCCAAACCCAATTCTGGTCAATGTCCCATCCCTGGAGGTGTTCAAGGCCAGGTTGGACAGGGCTCTGAGCAACCTGGTCTAGTTGAAGGTGGCCCTGCTCATGGCAGGGGGTTGGACTGGATGGTCTTTAAGGTCCCTTCCAACCCAAACTATTCTATGATTCTATGAAACAGCCATTATCTGCCCCCTGCTCCAGAGAACACCCCACTCTACGTGCAGCTCTTCACTGCCTTCCTCTGACCCAGCTGTGTTTGGACCTTGGCCATGGAGTGATTTGTGCCAAATCAGTGTAAAGGACTTGGGGGTTTGTGTGTTGTCCTTGGGTGGGGTTTGGGGTTTGTTGTGATTTTTTTTGTGTGTGTGTGCAACAGAGCAACTTAAGTAGTGCTGTGGTTAGTCTTGTGGCTGAGTAATTTTGGATATAAAACTCAATGTGCAAAGGAATTTGGAATTGTCTCCTGGAAGCACAAATGCTTCTTGTTCCTGCTGGAGTGAAGAAGCAGCAGAAGAATTTATTTCTTCAGCTTCTTTCTAAAGAGAAAGTAAATGCAAAAGTCAGCTCCTAAGACAGCCTGCTCTCTGGCAACCACTCTGCTTCTCATTTTCTTGGTTTTTTCATGTCACCTTGAGCAAACTCTTAACCCCTTTCGTTCTGTCTTAGGGGATGCTTTTCAAAAGGAGGTTCTCATTTCCCCCCTCCAGTTACGTAGGTGATAGAAATGGTCAGCCCTCACCATGCTGGCCTTCACCGTAACCTCATGTTGGCCATGATGTACCCAAAAGTCCACGTGACTGTGTTGCAAACGCCGTGTACTCCTTTGCTCCTGCCTGTGTCAATCCCATCCCTCTCCCTTTAGGTACCGGCCTGCTCAGAAGATGGATGGGATGGCAGAGAGTGGCTCCAACAGCAACCCCCACGCTACGCCGGAGCAATCGGTGGCTGCTCAAAGCCAACACCATCAGCAATTCATAGGTGAGGAGGCCACCTTCATGTGTGAGATATCTCATATCTTGGCTTATAACTTTAAGGAAGGTCTTGACCAGCATCCCTGGCTGTTCTGCGTTTGTTTGCTTTTCTAATCTACAGGATTATATATAATATCTATATTATATACGGTATAATAATATATATAATATCTTATGCAGTATATATTCTAATAAGCTCTTGGAATGTCACACTTGCTAAGTTTATTTGCTCACTCCCATACCCACAGGAAGCCTTTTTCCTGGTGCCATCGGGTCTGTCTGTTCCCTCTGTGTACATTTTTAATCCTTCTGGTGTTACCCAAACTGGATGGAAGGAGGGAGGGCCTGGAGAGCCCGGCTGAGCCCGGCAGCCGGAGGAAGAAGAGTGATTCTCTTCCTTGCAAAGGCTGCACCAAGTATCCAACCACAGACGATCTGTGTGGACCTTCTCTTCATGAGAAAAGCTCATTGGCTTTGCTGGTGGTGGATCTACGTGTCTCCATCATTCAAGTAGAGACACCAAATCCCGACCAGTGCTGAGGCTGCTCTGAAAAACAATTGCTCTTGTCCAATTATGTTTTCCATTGTGCGCTCAAAATACCAGAGAGACATTTGTCAGGCTTTGGAGAAAACCTAATGGGAAGCGCGGTGGATGAGGACAATGTACTCTTGTTTCTTTTATTACAGAGAGAAAGAAAACATTTTCCTTTCCACACTGAATAAATGGGCTGTGGTTGTTCCCTTTTTCCCCAGTATAACAGCAGGAATTGGGAAAATACTAGATTATTGGTCTCGTTTCTCCCGTTTCATCCCCAGTTGAAACATGGAAGATCTCAACCAGCGACAGCAGCACCTTGGACTCACCTGGAATCCTGAATGCTCCCAGCTCTCACCATCTTTCCTGATTTTTTTTGTGTTCCCTAGATGTCACCCATGTCTTTCCTGAGTTCCCAGCCCCGGATCTGGGTAACGTCCTCTTAAGAGAAGGGGTCACCATGAACGATGTGAAAACTCTGCAGCTTCTTTACAGGCGACACTGCGAGGTGATTGCTTTGAATATTTTTAATGGATTTCTTAATTGATGTGGGACATAATGCATGTGCTTATATCATGCTCTTAGGAAAAGCTAGAATATAATAGGGAATGCTCGATTTCCTGCCTATTACAACTAAATATTACTCTTTATGTTATTTTTTTCATTCTCTGACCTGGTTTATGTCATCTTGATTATTAAAACAATGCCCTTTCCATTGTTTTTCTTTTGTCAATTATTTCATCTAACTGGCAGCACGTGAAATTTCTGCTTAGGCTGTGTGACAAACTGCTGGCAGAGCAGCTCATGGGTTGTGTTCTTCGTTGTTAGGCGACTTTGGATGTTGTCATGAATCTTCAGTTTCATTATATTGAGAAGCTCTGGCAATCCTTCTGGAGTCCTAAAACACCCTCTAGCGATGGCTCTGCTGCCCTGCCGACCAGGTACCGCTCTGCTTTCATTATTTCTGAGTGCTCCATATTTTTTTTTGGTGGTATTTTAAAAGTGCATGAAGTAGAATCATAGAATTGTCTGGGTTGGAAGGGACCTTTAAGATCATCTCCTCCAACCATCAACCTGACTCCGATAAAACCCATCACTAACCCATGTCTCTAAGCACTATGTCAACGCATCTTTTGAATCCCTCCAGGGATGGTGCCTCAACCCCTTCCCTGGGCAGCCCATTCCAAGGCTCTTACACCCTCTTGGTGTAAAAATTTTTCCTCACATCCATCCTAACCCTCCCCTGGCACAACTTGAGGCCGTTTCCTCTTGTCCCATCGCCTGTTCCCTGGGAGAAGAGACCGACCCCCATCTCTCTACACCCTCCTTTCAGGGAGTTGGAGAGAGCAATAAGGTCTCCTCTCAGCCTCCTCTTCTCCAAGCTGAACCCCCCCAGCTCCCTCAGCCTCTCCTCACAAGACTTGTGCTCCAGACCCCTCACCAGCTCCACTGCCCTTCTCTGGACACACTCCAGGACCTCAATGTCGTTTTTGTGGTGAGGGGCCCAAAACTGGACACAGCACTTGAGGTGGGGCCTCACCAGTGCCCAGTCCAGGGGGATGATCACCTCGAGTCCCACTCACCACACTGTTCCTGACACAGGCTAGGAAGCTGTTGGCCTTCTTGGCCAAAGTATTTTCAGCTTCATTAGGCATTTTGAGGCATTTTGAGGGCTTTGTAAGACTTGAAAGTATTTACTTCCCCACAGAATTGTCACAAAGAGTGTGAGAAGGGTCTCATATCATAATGACCACACAAAATTCAGACCCCAGAGGAAAGCATCTGCTCTGGTTCTGTACATCCACCTGCCTTTTACTTTCTGCAACAAGTGCTAATTGAATATGCAGAGAGCCTTGGGATGGATGAGGAGGAGGTGATGCTTTCGTTGACAGTCAGCAGGAGCAGACAGTGACAAGTCTGTGTCATCAGGTGTCAGTCTGAGTGACACCCCAGACGCTGAGGTTTCAGTGACATCTAGACCGACTCTCTTCTTTGGCTGCCTGTCCAGATCTTGAGGTGCCTCATGTTTCGAGGCAGATGATGACAAATGAAGCTGCTCTGATCTTTGTGCTCCTGCCTGGCTCAGTGTTAGTGCCTTTTTTTTCATCCTTTGTGCATTGGTAGCCTGATGGGGGAATAGAAATAAGTGAAAATAGAGAAAATTGAAAAGGGGAAGGCTCAGTGTTAGTGCCTTTTTTTTCATCCTTTGTGCATTGGTAGCCTGATGGGGGAATAGAAATAAGTAAAAATAGAGAAAATTGAAAAGGTGGTTTCTTCTTAAAACTTATATAGTAAGTCTCTACAGTCCACTTTTACTGATTGTATAAGAACTTCTGATACTGACATTTTATATTCAGAAGCAAAATAGTAAAAGTTTGAGTAATAAGCAAATATCACCTAATAATCTGTGGAATATGGCCCTGTTGCCCTCAGCAGATGTGGGAAAACATCTCTTGGGTAACAAAGAATCACTGTAGCTGTTTCAAAGTCTCTTTTCCTTAGGGGTGTCTCCCCAGGGCTCATTGCAGCCCCCAGGGAGAGCTGGGCTGGGTACAGACACACTCGGGTACTGGAGGCAGCATTTCTCCATCTAAACTAACCCCAGTACCTCCCCGTGTCACTGCTAATAACCCAGACAGGTAAATAAAGCACTCCTTCACACCTCCCCCCTCTACACAAATATAAAACCAAAGTGGTGAACTGTTTGAAAGTATGAAAAAATGCAGAAAATGGTTCCACTTAACAGAAATTTTAGGTACTCGATAGCCCTTTTCTCCATATGAGAGCTCTAGGAGTGTGTCTGTGGAGTTCATTTACTAAAACCGCCCAGGCAGAGGCTGTAACTACCTCTTTATGGTATGTCCAAGCCTTGGCTTTAATGTTTTTGATGTAATGCCTGGGGAAAGTCCCCTGCAAACTCCCAGTTCCCAGCGTAATGTCTTGGTAGCTCTGCTTTGATGCTCTGGTGCAGGGTTAAGGCTTTGGTTTTCTCTGCTTGCTGTTTGACCAAATATCTTATGCCTTAATCATGCAGAAGAAGTTTCCATACATCTATAAAGTGAAAATAATGCAGCTTGATTGACCTCGTTCAGTTAGAGAAGATATACTCTGTTCTCATCAGAACAGCAATTCTTTCTCCTTCTGAAAACATTCAGCATTTGAAGGTGTTAAACGCCTTAAAAACCATTTGTAGGATCTGTTAATACCAGCTAATCTGCTCAGATGACATTCGTTGGAAATATTTGTCCCCACTGGTAGAGCTGAGGAGGTTTAGAGCACGGGGGAGAGGTGGGAAGGATTTGGAAGCAGCTGGGTCTGCAAGGAGGAACCTGCTGACGTACAACTCCCAGGCACACGAAGCAGAGTCAGGCAGCCAGGCACAGGGAGACGTGGATTTGAGGGAAAACTGTCCCCATGGATGGAGAGGAGCTTGCAGAGTCAGAAAGGACTTGTACAAACCACCAGAGATTTCCTTCTGAAAGAAACACGAGTGGGTTTTTTTTCTGCTGAAAGCTGGGATTAGGAATGGAGAGGAAGGTGAAGGCCCTGAATGCAAACCCGCTGCTAACGCTCTGCCTCCCTCCTCCTCCTCCTCCTCCCACAGCGAAGAGGAACACGAAGGGACCCTCCCGAAAGAGAAGCTGATCGGTCTGTGTAAATACGAGCCCATCCTCAAGTGGATGAGGAGCTGTGATCACATCTTGTACCAGGCCCTGGTGGAGATTCTCATCCCGGACGTGCTGAGACCGGTGCCCAGTGAGTATCCTGTCGGGAGCACATGGGTCCTGGGGCTGAGTCATGGGATGCTGCGTCTGACAAACAGCCATCCCTGACTCACTCGGCCTGGCTACCACTTGCCACAAAGATTTCCATTGTAAAATCTTGGTTGAGGGGGTTTTGTTTTGAACACAAGTTAAAATATTGTGGCAACAGCAATCTTGGTGCTGGAGCAGCATCGCTCTGCGTCAGCGGTGCTTTGTGGCCCCTGGAAATTCCCAGGCTTTTTGAAATTGGGTTTATTGCGTATCATGTCTCCTGCTGCTGGCGAGGAGTCAAGGGGAAAGCAGGGGCTGAAGGCACGAGTCAGCACAGCTGATCCCTCTGAGATGTTTCCTTGGAGACAGCGTCATGTTTACCTAAGACCATCCAGTCCCTTAAGGCACCTCCTGGAAATTTGGGGTCGATTTTCGCTGAGGAGATGAGTGAGGGGACACGGAGAGTTTTCCCTCTGATTTGGCTCCTCCATGAAATCCCTGCGTCACTCTCCCCGAGGCCTCAGCTCAGCCCTGGCTTGAGGACAACGGGAAAACCACAGCCTTTGGAGCTGCCCTTGTCAATCTACACCCCGGGACACGTGTGGGTTTAGAGAGAGTATTTCTGCATTTGGAAAATGCTCAGAAGGACCATGAGTAAGAAAAGCATAAGAAAGAATAAGAAAATGAGAAGAAGAAAATAAGGATGAGAATAAAGATAGAATAAGAAAATAAGGATAAGAAAATAAGGATAAGAATAAAGATAGAATAAGAAAATAAGGATAAGAATAAAGATAAGGATAAAAAGAAGGATAAGAATAAGAATAAAGATAAGAAGAAAAGTTTGAGTAACAATATTAGAGAATAAGATTAATAAGAAAGAATAAGAATAAGAATAAGAATAAGAATAAGAATAAGGGTAAGGATAAGAAGAAAAGTTTGAGTAACAATATTAGAGAATAAGAATAATAAGAAAGAATAAGAATAAGGATAAGAATAAGGATAAGAAGAAACGTTTGAGTAACAATATTAGAGAATAAGAATAATAAGAAAGAATAAGAATAAGAATGAGAATGAGAATAAGAGTAACGATCATAAGAATAAGAATAAGAATAAGAATAAGAATGAGAATAAGAATGAGAATAAGAGTAACAGTCGGAAGAAAAATTTGAGTAACAATGTTAAAGAGTAAGACTAAGACTAAGAAAAGACTAAGACTAAGAATAAGACTAAGAAGACTAAGACTAAGAAAAGACTAAGACTAAGACAAGACTAAGACTAAGAATAAGACTAAGACTAAGAAGATTCTGAGTGCATCTCAGGACCCAGCTGATTTCCCTGATGCTAAATGGAGCTCAGAGCTGACCAGATGAGCGGCTGCGCTTTCCACCACGGGCCTAAGCTAGAAAAGTGATGTCCAGAGACACAGACTCTAACTCTGCAGGGTTCTTTGCAGGCACACTCACCCAGGCGATCCGGAACTTTGCCAAGAGTTTGGAGGGGTGGCTGATGAACGCAATGAGTGAATTCCCCCCCTACGTTGTGCAGACCAAGGTAAGCAGGGGCAGGTCAGGGAGATGGATTCAGTGTGTGTGTGTGTTTGCATGGTGCAGTTTTCCACAGTGAATGGAAATCCTTGGTAGGGTTTGGCCACGTGTCCTCCAGACTTGCACAGTGTCATGAATAATTATCAACCAAGATCAGCAAGGAGTGGGAGGACAGGCAGGGTGATTCCTTTGGACCAGAAGCTGCTGATGTTCTGTCCATTGAGCCATTTCCACGTCCTGAAATTGCAGATAAAGCTTCCTGGAAGAAAATCTCTGCACTGGGGTGAAGCTGTCCTACTAGAAAGTAGAGGACACCTGGTGGACTGAGGGGCATTGCAGAGACTGAACCTCAGGCTCCTACTCCCCCTCTCCTAAAGCCATGGATTCTTGCAGCCTGTTCTCACCTCCCTGGTCTCTGCTGGAGAGGGAATGTGAAAACCTGTTAGTTTAAAGAAAATAAATGCTGAGGCTGGTTTGCAAGATGCAATAGATGCTCCAAAAGTGCTGCTCGTGTCTGCCATGGACAGCAGCGGGGGTGGGGACTGTGCGGAGACCCCCAGCTGATGGGTGGCATGTGCTTGAGCTCGGCGTTTCACTGAATTTCACTGAATTTCACTGAATTTTTTAGAGTTGGAAGGGACCATAGAGATCATCTAGTCCAACTCCCCTGCTGAAGCAGGATTGCCTAGAGCTTGTCAGAGCATGTTACTCAGGAGCATCCAGGCGGGTCTTGAAAATCTCCAAGGAAGGGGACTCCACACCCTCCCTGGGCAGCCTGTTCCAGGGCTCTGTCACCCTCACCGTGAAGAAGTTTCTCCTCAGATTTGAGTGGAACCTCTTCTGTTCCAACTTGTGCCCGTTGCCCCTCGTCCTCTCAGGCGTTGAGGAGCATTTGCCCCCAAGCCCTGTGGCCTCCTGCTCACGGTGCCCTCCATCCTGTCTTCCAGGTCGGGGTGGTGAGTGCGTTCGCCCAGACGTTACGGAGATACACGTCCCTCAACCACCTGGCTCAGGCCGCCCGGGCCGTGCTGCAGAACACCTCCCAGATCAACCAGATGCTCAGTGACCTCAATCGGGTTGACTTCGCCAACGTGCAGGTGACTTATGGCATCTTTTCCTATGGCATGGTGTCTAGAAGTGGGGCTCTAGAATGAGGTTGTCTGCTGGTAACCGGCATCTTATTTCCAACACTAAGGAGCAATTAAATGAACAATTTAATGGGTTTGGTGTTTTTCCAGGTAAGTCTGACTTCACACTGTGAACAGTGGAGAAGGTAGTAATGAACAATGCCAACACCAACAATAATACAATCCTAACAATAATATTATGCTGTGGTCTGGACAGATCGGAGGAGACATGATTCACAGCTGGTTTGGAGACCTTGTCTTCTAGAAATGAAGTTGAATTCCTGGGTTGGGGTACACCAACCATGCAGGCTTGGTGTGAGTAACTGTCAACCCTTCTTTCTGAGCAGGAGCAAGCCTCATGGGTGTGCCAGTGTGAGGAAGGCATGGTACAGAAGCTGGAGCAGGATTTCAAGCTCACCCTGCAGCAGCAGAGTTCTCTGGACCAGTGGGCTAGTTGGCTGGATAATGTTGTCACTCAAGTCCTGAAGCATCATGAGGGCAGTCCCAGCTTTCCCAAGGCAGCCCGGCAGTTCCTGTTGAAATGGTCTTTCTATAGGTACATTTTCTTTCTCGTTTTGGAGTGTTTTGGAGCTCAGGAGGGTTCCAACCCTGTTGGAATGGGTCCAGATGAGGCCACGAAGATGATCAGAGGGCTGGAGCCCCTCTGCTGTGGGGACAGGCTGAGAGAGTTGGGGGGGTTCAGCCTGGAGAAGAGAAGGCTCCGGGGAGACCTTGGAGCCCCTTCCAGGCCCTCAAGGGGCTCTAGAAAAGCTGGGGAGGGACTCTGGATGAGGGAGGGGAGCCCTAGGAGGAGGGGGGGGGTTTTGACACTGAAAGAGGGGAGATTGAGATGAGATCTCAGGGAGAACTTCTTTGCTGTGAGGGTGGTGAGAGCCTGGCCCAGGTTGGCCAGAGAAGCTGTGGCTGCCCCATCCCTGGAGGGGTTCAAGGGCAGGTTGGAGGGGGCTTGGAGCAACCTGGTGTGGTGGAAGGAGTCCCTGCCCAGGGCAGGGGGCTTGGAACAAAAAGATCTTTCCAACCCAAACCAGTCTATGATTCTATGGTATTTCTGCACCAGGCTTTGGGCATGTAAATAGCTCCTTGAAAAGCCAAGGTTCTTTGCTTCCATCAACTCTGGTAACTGATGCTTTGCCCCAGTGCAGAAGGGACTCTTGTATCCCCTGTATCCTTTCAGGAGGGGGGTAGGATACTCCATCAACTGATTTCTTAAAGTGCTTTGATGCTCTTGGGTTACAGGTAGAAACAGAGCACTGTGTCCCACAGTACCCTCAGGGTCAAGAATTCACGTCAGCCCGTGATGCAAGCATAAACCATAACCCAAATATTTTGTTTCCTGGCCATTTTCCCAGCTCCATGGTGATCCGTGACCTCACTTTGCGCAGCGCTGCCAGCTTTGGGTCCTTCCACCTGATTCGCCTGCTCTATGACGAATACATGTTTTATCTGGTGGAGCATCGCGTTGCCCAGGCAACAGGGGAGACGCCGATTGCTGTAATGGGAGAGGTGAGAATTGCTTATTCCCTAGAAACAAATCCAAACCCAGCAGCCCTTAAAGAGACAGGGTTGGTTCACAAACCGGACGGGTTTTTATAACCATCTTTATAACCATCAGAGTTGTTTTGGGTGCCTGGCACAAGGATCATTCACGTCAGCCCGTGATGCAAACATAAACCATAACCCAAATATTTTGTTTCCTGGCCATTTTCCCAGCTCCATGGTGATCCGTGACCTCACTTTGCGCAGCGCTGCCAGCTTTGGGTCCTTCCACCTGATTCGCCTGCTCTATGACGAATACATGTTTTATCTGGTGGAGCATCGCGTTGCCCAGGCAACAGGGGAGACGCCGATTGCTGTAATGGGAGAGGTGAGAATTGCTTATTCCCTAGAAACAAATCCAAACCCAGCAGCCCTTAAAGAGACAGGGTTGGTTCACAAACCGGACGGGTTTTTATAACCATCTTTGCCGAAGGGTTTACGGAGTTGTTTTGGGTGCCTGGCACAGCTCCTTGAGCATCTTCCCTCTTGGCTCTCTAATACCTGAGTGGGTGGGTTTTGGGGCAGTTGAGCATCAGCTGGGCTTTGGGGGCCTGGAGGAGGGAAGAAAAGCATCTCCCCACTTATCCCCATAACCTGTGGGTACCAACCCTGACTTTGGGGTCCCGCCAGGGCAAAGTCCCATCAAACACAAAAGCTAAAGCAAGGAAATGAGGTCCAGAAGTTACGTTCCCTTCAGCTTTCAGTGGTCCCATCCACTGAACTTCTTCAGGCCTCTGCAAGCTCCAGAGTTACGTGCTCAGTCGGCCACTTTCTCTGGTTTTGGCTTGAAAAAGAGAAGTGTTGGGTTGTTTGGGGTGGTGAGGCGGGTGTTTGGGCTTTTTTTTTTAACAAATCAGACAGCAAACCTGGCACCCAGCTTGCCAGCAGCCCCTGTCCTGCCTTGCTGAAGTCACTTCCCGTTTTTCACTGTGAAATGGCCAGATTTCAAAGGCTCCAATCAACCTGGGACAGTAAGATAAAGACTTGTGTTAAAACTGATCTCATTTGCTCCTTGAAGTTCATAATTTTTTTTCTTCCTTCCATGGAGCTCATGTCGGGGAGTCAGACGAGTCAATCACGTGCCTTTGGCTTCCCCTTCCCCTCCCATCAGACCCGTGCTGCCAGTTCCCACTATTCCCAGTAAAACATAAAGGGTTCCACTTGAATATGAGGAAGAACTTTTTCACAGTGAGGGTGGCAGAGCCCTGGAACAGGCTGCCCAGGGAGGGTGTGGAGTCCCCTTCTCTGGAGATTTTCAAGACCCACCTGGATGCTCCTGAGTAACATGCTCTGACAAGCTCTGGGTGGTCCTGCTTCAGCAGGGGAGTTGGACTAGATGATCTCTATGGTCCCTTCCAACCCTAAAAATTCAGTGAAATTCAGTGAAATTCAGTAAACCCTCTGTCTTTGTGGATATTAAAGGAACGTGAAAGGCAGAGAGCTTCCAGCCAACCCCAGCCGTGGGACCTTTCATCCTTCAGGTTTTGCCTTTCCTTTAAACTCTTGCAATATTTCTGTTCTCCAGGAGGAGGCTGATTCTTCCCTGTGAAAGAGGAGGAATTGTGTCCTTCCGTTCCCATCCCTCCCTTTATAACTCAGTTCCTTCTGCCTAACTTCACATGGCTTTTCAGCATTATTCCTTCCGTTCCCATCCCTCCCTTTATAACTCAGTTCCTAACTTCACATGGCTTTTCAGCATTATAATTAGAGCAATTTAGTGTTTCAGACCTCGTCACAGAGAGAGATGACACATCTCCAGACCCCAATATGTACCCAGATCTCTGGTTTCAATGGGCAACGTGGCCTTGCAAGCTAAAGCACTGTCCTGAGGTGACTGCAAAGGCTTTGCAGAGAGGTGGGGTGATGGTGGAGTCCCAGAAGAGGTGAATTAACTGCCCCACAGACATTGAGGGCTGGAGAAAAGGCACCATCCTTTGGTCAGTGGCAGTACATTAGGGATAATGTCAGGTAATACTTACTCTTTTGGGAAGTCAACTCTGTAAAGGTTGTACTGGCAGTGAGGTGATGTCATAAGGAAGTATTTTTATTTTTTCTGCATTTGTTATAAAATCAGCGAGAGCTTCAGCTAAAAGGTGCAAGAGCTGAAGGTGAAACTAAAGGGGTAAGAACAAAAGTCTCCATCCTAGGAGCACGGAGAAAGGCACGGTCAGAAGGTTTGCATGATATTGCAAGGCTGATTCCTGATTTCCCTCAGTATTTCTGTACGTTCTTGTGTAGTGGTCGCTGTGGGAAGAATGGCCACCGCAGTAAAGTAGATGGAAGGGTCAGTAGCAGCTGATACCTTGGTCATACTGAGAAAAAATATCTAATGGTACAATATCTCTCTGGCAGGTAGCCCAGGAGCAAAGCAGAGAGTTTAAACAGAGACTTGGGAAAATGATGGCTGAGTTCTGTTCCTACCAAAATCTGTACCAGATTTATCATTACTTGAAAGAGTGAGAGGCTCTCAAATAGTTCCTGGGGAATCACTCAAAATAAAAACTATTTCAAAAGTTCAAGAAGTATCTAGGCTGAATGAATTTAACATTCATAAACTGGAAGATAGAGCAATTTTTAGCCAGATTTGTCATCGCTTTAATAAAGCATGAATTGTGTTTAAATGACTATGAGATATAAGCCCAGAAAAAAAGCAAAAAAAAGTAATCCCTAGCTTTCTGTATAAGAGTATCCTGAGTCCCAGCTGCTGTGGATGCTGCCACATTAACGAGGGGCTGGTTGGCAGCTGGGTCTGGGCACTCAAATTAGCTTCTCTATGAGCAAGTTTTCTATGCTTTGGGGAATGGAAAAATGTCTCCTTTCGTTCCAGAGCTCCATCCTGCCCTGGGTTGTCCCCTGTGGTGGTTGCCCAGAGGTTTAAATGCCAGGGGCAGACTTTTCCCTGAAACATGTGGTCAGTTTTGCTTTCTGCTCCCCACGTGCAGTACTGCTCATCCTTTGGGTTTCTCCTGAGCTTAAGCTGCTTGTTGGAATTGCTCAGAAATAGATGCCAACTTGCAGGTCTGGCACCTTGGGTCTCCATAAGCCTCCCTTACCTTGTAACTCCTTTTTCTTTCAGTTTGGTGACCTCACATCCCTGTCCCCAACGCTGCTGGACAAAGGTACCTTCTGTCCCTCAAGGGAAGCCCTTGGGTTGGGAATGGAGTCACTGTGGGAGGGGGAACCTCACGCTGGCTCTTCCATCCTGCTCTGTTGGGAAGAAAGACCTCTTCCCCTCCGGTCCCCACTCTGATGCTGAGATTTGACAGACTGAGAGAGTTGGGGGGCTTCAGCCTGGAGAAGAGAAGGCTCCAGGGAGACCTTGGAGCCCCTTCCAGTCCCTCAAGAGGCTCCAGGAAAGCTGGGGAGGGACTCTGGATGAGGGAGGGGAGCCCTAGGAGGAGGGGGAAGGGTTTGACCCTGAAAGAGGGAAGACTGAGATGAGATGTGGGGCAGAAGTTCTTTGGTGTGAGGGTGGTGAGAGCCTGGCCCAGGTTGCCCCAAGAAGCTGTGGCTGCCCCATCCCTGGAGGGGTTCAAGGCCAGGTTGGAGGGGGCTTGGAGCAACCTGCTGTAGGGCAGGGGGTTTGGAACTCGATGGATCTTTAAGGTCCCTTCCAACTCTAACCATTCTATGATTTATCCTTTGCAGATGACATGAGTGACCTGGGCAGCGAGGTGGACACCGACTCCCGGAGCGTGGGGGAGCCGCTGGTGAAACGGGAGCGCAGTGACCCCGGCCACTCGCTGCAGGAGATCTGAGACGGGGACTCGGCTTCTCTCCAGCTGGACGAAGAACATCTAGAGCCAGGTTTGATGGTGGCAAACCTGAGTCTCCCCGGTTCTGCGTTATTAGTGCCTCTTAGTTTCTCTTTCTGTTTACTTGTGTTTGAGGACAGGATCTAGGGGGGAACCCGGTGGGGCCATGGCATGGGGTCGCAGTGGCCGCCTGCTTTCCTCCAACACAACTGCTGGCTCGAGGGCCAAGCTCCAACGTCTACTACCGAGTGATGGAAGCCTCCGTGGACAGCAGATTGGACTTGCCTGTCCTCTCCAGTCTGAGTGAGGCGGGCAAAGGAGGCTTTCTCTTTCAGGGAAGGTGGGTTTGGGTTTCTTCCCCACTTCTCAGACTTCACTGTGATACGAACTTGAACCAATCAGTGCCCAAGAAGAAAGAAAAATACCTGACCCTTCTCCTCTGGCCTTTCGAGACAAGCTGTCCTTCCTGCCTCTGATTTTGCCAAATCATTCGTGCTGGGAAGCACAGGATGGTTTGTCTCTCCCACACCCACCTGGGGAGGGGGCTCCAGGCTGCACATCTGACTGGTGATGCTCATGCACACCCTGGGACTGACGTGTCCATGCTCCAGGACTGACACCTGCACGCTCTGGGACTGCAGGACACGCTCTGGGACTGCAGGACACATTCTGGGACTGCAGGACTTCGCACCTGCTCTCGTGTCTCCCCATCCAGACGTTCCATCCCTGATCCACCACTGCTCCCGGGACACTGTCAGGCCAACTCAAGATACCAAAGGACTCTGAGGAAGCGGTGGCCGGTCACAAAGCGTGTTCGTTGCCCCCCTGGGCGATCCCCCAGGCAATCCCCATCCTCCCCAGGGTGCCCGGGCAGAGGGAACTGGTCCCACGTCCTGGGTTTTGTCAAGTTCTCGCTCCGTGTCCTGCTAAAAGGCTGAAGGTCCCGTGTGTGGGCGAGGGTGGGCGACCGCAGTGCCTTAGGGGGGGCCCACATGCCCACTCCCCCCGCTCCGGCGCAGCAGGACCTGCTGCTCAGACCCTGGTAAAATAAAATGACCCCGTCCCGTGGAGCAGCTCCCAGTTTGCTCAACACCACTGTGGTGTTTCCCTTTGCTTTGCCTTCTGCCGTGTCGTGGTGGTGGCTCCTGTGGGGCTGAGCTGGGGGGGTTTCTGCCTCAGGGGGGGGTTATTCGCCCTTTCTGTGTCCTGGGGGTCTGGGCTGACGTGGACAACAGGGTGGAGGTTGGTGGGGGGAATCTGCCATCAAGCCAAACTGCAAAAACAAAGCCCTGGGGCAAATCTTTCTGTGAATAAAGGCCGTGTCATAAATAGCTTTTATTATTATTATTATTATTATTTCTAATGATACCGTATTTGATGTGAGCTTTTCCAGGGGCCTTGTGTACATTTGCATCAGAGTATATTCTATCCAAATATATTATTTACTCTATTCCTAAATGGTACTAAGGTAGCTGTGACACTTTAAAAAAAAACTATTGCTAATGGAAAGTAAAAAGAAAGTGTGTGTAGTGGCACATCTGTCCCTCTTCCTGTCCCGTGCTGTTGTCTGCCAGGGTGATGTTTGTCTGTAAACGTCTTGAAGTCACAGGGGACGAGTGAGAAAGCAGGATTTATCTGTAAATAACAACGATGAATGCTCCCTGGGTCAGAACCCCCACCTCACATCCTGCTGATGGGATCAGATGGTCTGAAAAACTGAGTCTTAACCCCCCCCTTGCTCCCGTTGATGCGGGATTAACTCCAGCCCGTGTGTCAGCTCCTCTTTGTGGCCACTGCTCCCCAAACCCAGCCCCTCTGCTCCCCACGGACCTGCGAAGGAGACGCTCCGGAGCCGTGCAGGCCCCTGGATAACCCCCCCCCCCAAACCCCATCCCCACAGAATTCCCAGCTAAACCCAAATAGCAATAAACATGTATCGAATGCTCAGGCCTGTACCATCGTTGTCGTGGTCCCATTTCTTCCGTAATCACTGAAAGGAGGCATCAGGCAGGTGCTGCAGCTTTGCAGGGAGATGTGGGTGCTGCCCAGTGCAGTTTAATTAAAGTAGTTACGGCCTGGGACCCGGTGTCAGGGGGGAAGGGGACATATTCACTGTGAAGCAGTGGCTGGTTTGTAGGGATAACGTGCCTGTTACACCAGAGCTCACGGAGGGGAGAGGAGGCTGAAGGATCAGGCTGCTGCTGAGCACGGGGCCACAAGAAGCCTGTTCTAATTACACTTCTAGGCTAATTGTGGAGGATGGGAGCAGCGACACAGGGATGTGATGAGTGACACATCATTCCTCCTGCCACCCGTCGGGAAGGGGAAGGTTTAGGTTCAGCCTCTCTCCCTCTGCATCCTTCCTGCTCACCCCACTCTCCCTCTGGATGGTGCCCAGTCCAGGGGGGGTGGCTGGACCAGCCTGAGCCCCTGCCCTCGGACAACACGTCGTGGGGCTGGAAGAAGGGGGTTATTTCCCCTCCCTGGGCAGCTGAGGAGCCCCCCCCCGCCCCCAGCACACCCGGCTGTAATGGAAAGTGAAGCACAGATTGAAATGCTGACGTTAAAACACACCCACAGGGAGATTTGGCTTCTCTCTGCTCCATCCCCCTGCCCCCGGGACAAACCCCCGCGGGGATTTTGGCTGCGGGGCTGGGCTGGGATCGGCCGATGGGACCCCAGCCAGGGGTGGGGGAAACCGGGCTGCCTGTACCCCCCCACACTACCTGTACCCCCCATGCTGCCTGCACCCCCC